TTTATATATATATATATATATATATATATAGATATATATATATATATATATATATATATATATATATATATTACCCAATAAAATATTTCAGAGCTTGGCATAACTAGGTAAAAAAATATATAAGATTTTTATAAGTTTACATGACTTTTCTAATTCTAGAAATCACACTTTTATAATTAGGCTTACGGATATTTTCAGGTTTTTCAAGGCAGTTGGAACCATTGTCGCTTAAAGAATTAAAAAGTTGTTGAGGGCGTGAGAAAAAAAAAAAGATTCTGATGTTGGTTGAGAACCACTGATAATGTTGTACATTTTAAGTGTGACTTAAAATACCTTAAAGTGTCCAAATACAATTAGGAACCACTGTAATAAGCAGGTAAAATAAGTAGATACAAATAAGTTTAGAGAAGCTATTACACTTATTAAACCCCACACAGGGTTTTTCTTTTCTGAAGCATCTCCATGCTTTTCTTCCATTCCCAGTGTGATCCAGAATGAACAGGGCTGTTGCCACCTGCTGGATATTTCTCCTGCTTTCAGCATTTCTGTGCGATCAGGTGATATCCAAAGGTGGCAGGGGAGGAGCCAGGGGTTCAGCACGGGGCAGCGCCCGAGGAGGCCGGACATCCCGCACCCGAGGCTCCCCCGCTGTGCGGGTGGCAGGGGCAGCGGCGGCCGGGGCTGTGGTGGCGCTGGGAGCTGGAGGATGGTACGCGTCGGCTCAGCGTCGTCCGGATGACAACTCAGAGCACGGAGATGATTACTACAATAACAGAACAGACTGGGAGCTCTACCTCGCCAGGACATCAAGCGCAATAGTGCACGATCCCACTAAACTTTCCACTCTGCTCTTACCAATAAACTTTGTGATGTTCTTTGCCCCTTGAGGCAGTTCAAGACAGTTCGGCACAGCTTAATAAGCTGCATATGTATGTTACTGTGCAACACCTGTTTAATAATGTATACTTTATTGCACAACAAAGAGGATATGAAGATAAAATAAAGATTCAAAACCTCTATTTAGTTTAGTAGACATTTTAAGAATAGGATCTGAAAGGTTAGACTGCATAGTTAGCTTCAACAGGAGCATTAGTATCTATACAATGATAGACTACTTAAATTATGCTGGTTACATCATGTACTGGATGGCAAAATACTGTGTTGTTGTGCTGCTGAATCACCATTGTTCTTGAGATTTACACAAACGTGAACCTTTTTATATTAACCTCTGTCTGTTTAATAATATTTATGTGCACATTAACTAATAATTGTACATAGATTGAAAAGACATGCTGTAACACTTTTAGAATAAGAAAACTTCATTCTGTACCTGTACTTCCATTGATGTGGGTATGAAAACATCCCGTTTTTAAATTTCTACCTTAGTCATGCTTTGAACATTTGATGTATTGAAACCATTTTGTCTTTCAAGTAGATTTTTTGATAACCCACAAAACAATGTGAATGCAGTATGTATTAAGTGCACATGTGTTTAAAAACCCTTAAGAAATTAAAGATTTTCTTTTCTTTTATAAAAACACTACACAAGCTCTGTTTGCCAGCTGTTAGATAGATTTAACAAATTACAATTTTAGAAATCAAAGCAATTACACGCCAGATATTTTATAAAATGAATACATTAATTGTGGGGAAAAAAACAGATGATGTAATTTTGTGAAAGTAGAACATCTAAATGTTATATGTAGTTTAGTGCTGCCATTTGACTTTTGGTTGTAATCTTTGGTTTTCACATACAAGACACCAATGCGTATCAAATTAAACTGAATAATTTATTGTAGTTGCAATTGCAGTATTGAGAAATCAGAATCAGAATGAGCTTTATTGCTAGGTATGTTTACACATACGAAGAATTTGTTTTCGTGACTGAAGCTTCCACAGTGTAACAGAATGACAGTGACAGAACAAAAAACAGATAATAAAAAATAAAAATAGAACAAGTAAATAAGGAGTAAAAATATACAAATCGACAATTGTATGTACAGGTATATAACAATAGACAGTTGTATGTACAGGTATATTATGTGCAAATTGAAATGTAGACCGAGTATGTGTGTTAGATAAATAAGTGTATGAGTGAATAAATAGTATGTGTTCCACAGTTATTTCCACAGTTATAAGTGTTCATGAGATGGATTGCCTGAGGGAAGAAACAGTTCCTGTGTCTGGCCGTTCTGGTGCTCAGTGCTCTGTAGCGTCGACCAGATGGCAACAGTTCAAAGAGGGAGTGTGCTGGATGTGAGGGGTCCAGAGTGATTCTGCCAGCCCTTTTGCTCACTCTGGATGAGTACAGTTCTTGGAGAGAAGGGAGGGTTGTACCAATGATTCGCTCAGCAGTCCGGACTACCCTCTGTAGTCTTCTGAGGTCAGATTTGGTAGCTGAGCTGAACCAGACAGTTATAGAAGTGCAGAGGACAGATTCGGTGCATTGAAATAATATTCAATGCACCTTTTATGACAAATTCACAATAAAAACAAAGACATGCCCCAAATACCCTGTGCACCACCTTTTAATTAAAACATTAAAAGTACTAAGTGCTTCTCTTATGTGCTCAGTGTCTTGAGCATACATACAGTAAGGTCAAGCTTTCATTGCATCAGTTACAAATCAGCCATTTAAAACACTCTCAGTCAAGCATAACTTTTCCAAGTTCTCCTTTCCGAAATGCTCTAATCGTAGGCTGCTGCACTGTAGTCTGGTAACTGGACGGTGATGTTGCCTAAACAGTTGATGTGTTATTGATTAAATATATTCACAAAAAAGTGAATGCTTCAACATTTGAAGAAGTTCAAGCGAGGTTAGTTTTGATTGAAATCGCTAAAAGGAAAATTGAGTGGCTTGAATGAATCGACTCACCAACTCCAGTGATGGCCTTCACACGCTTGGTCTTGCCAAGGTTCACCGCTATACTCTTCAGCACATGTTGAATATCATCACAAGGCTCTTCAAGATTGTACTTTTCAATGTAACTATAGAAGAAATGGTCACAATCATTGATTACTCTACCGTACATTCTGCTTTCTAAAACAAACAACAAATGAGTGTTGCTGCTTGTAGATTTTCCAAAACATCACTTAAATCTTTCCAGTCTGTTCAGTGAAAAAAGCAGATAATCTGCAATGACATCCTCACCAACTAAATGGTCCAAAATGGTACCTGTTTGAAAAGGAGACACCATCATCACCTTACAATAATAACATTATAACAACTAAACATTAAGATTTGATTAATTTCTCTGGGTTTTTTGGACTTACCACATAAAGCAAGTTTCATTCCTGTCTAGTCTAGGTGGCAGGACTCCTGGGGTGTCCAGTAAGGGTGTCTCACAGGCCTAGTAAAACAAAATTTCATTTAAGGTGTGAACGTGTGTGAACACATCAACCCAATTGAATCCATTAAATGATTATAAAAGATACCTGAATTTTGGTCAGGACAGCTTTTGTACTTCCTGGTTCCCCTCCTACTTTTGAAGCTTTGCCTGACAGCAATAAAAGTATCCCATGTTTAAGCCTTCTGTCTGATTGTTAAGATTAAGTGACTGCAACAAGAAAGGTATTTTGCAAAGCATAAAATAAATACCTTTTTTCAAATATGTTCTCCTTATTGCATTAATCAGTGATGATTTCCCCACATTTGGCACACCAATGACCATCAGACAGTAACTTCTGTCCTACACATAGACGAGTAAGAAATTCAGAAAACTTTATAGTACAATGTAAGCTATTGAAATAATTGAAACCCACCTCTTCTCTGTGAAAACGTGACCCACTTTCTATCAATTCTGTCACAAGAGGAACAATCTAGAACATAAGACAGTGAAACACAATGTTTAAAACTATAAGGTGCTAGGTTTTCCAGTCTTTTATTTAGAAATATCTGATGTAACGTCTGACACTGCTCACCTTTTTTTTACATTCTCATCTCGTTGTCTTAAACAGTCTGTAAACAAAATATTCCTCACACCTTCTCTCTCGAGCTGCTTCAGAATACTCTGCCAAAATGAAAAAAAAACCTGTTAAATCCTTTTTTTTTTGCATTTGCAAGACAGTTTAAATTGAACGCAATAATGAAATGCATAAGATTATAAGACCTGCTTTTTTGACGTGTCTGCCAGATCCATCTTGTTCAGTACAAGTATGTGTGGCCGGACATCAAGGCTCTCTTGAAATGAAGGATTTCTTCCAGAAAAGGGTATGCTGGCCAGTTAAAGAAGGTCTTATAAAAATACTGTGGTTTAATCATTTAAAATGTGCTTTCTCTGCAAAACAAAAAAAAAGGATATTCTAGCATCATGGATCTCTATAATGTAATCAACCTTCCTTAGACTGGCTCTCATCTGCTTGAGTCCTAACAAGAGAAATCACAATGGTGAGCATGTTTCTGTAGGACAAAATCAGCTTTGAATCTCAAATTCTGAGACACATGAGAATAGATTTAGACATCTACAGCACGTTTATTTATATCTGATTGGCTCAAATAAGATGAATAACGAATGAATGCTGAATGATTAAAAGCACTTGTTCCAGATGTTAACTCAATTAAACATTTATGGTCCCCGTAACACTAAATTATACAGATTTAATGGTTTTCAGTGTATGTAACGCACCTTTAGCCATATGTCCAGGGAACCAATGCGCCACCTCTCGCTCACCAAAGGCAAACACTTTCCTAAACTTGGCAGCACTGAGTAAAGAATTATAAATCCTCATCGTAGCCGCCCAGTCATCTGAATACAGAACGAATTTGCTAAATAAAGACCGCTACTTGCTAACAAAATCGTATAAACTAAAGAGCTACTAAAGATTTCAAACAATGTAGCAAGTCTCACTCTCCTACAGAGGCCATTCTTCTTCTGTGCTATGACTGTACAGAAAGAAACGCAATCATCGCCACCTACAGGATTGACAGGGGAACCACAGAGCGTCCACCCCCCAAAGTTCAGTAGAGGCCTGAATTGTTTATCATGAATTTGATGGTTTTTACAGCCATTACAGACCATATTCATATACAAATCATGCCTTTTCTCTTTCAGTATCATTGGAGCAGTGAGAACTGGGTGCTTCATGTTGTACATGCTCCGAAACAGTGGCTTTAAGCAGTCTGTTTGTGATCAGAGCTTCTACTATGGGCCTATAAGCAAGTTCTGGGCTTGTGCCTTTGTGCTGAGCAAGGCCCCAGAGCTAGGTGAGCCTTTTCTTATTCATTTATTTTGGGATAAATCACCATAAATTACCATTGTGTCATCATTTACTCACCCTCATGTTGTTCCAAATCTGTATGACATTCTTTTGTGTAACAAAAAGGAAGATATTTTGAAAGTTATAATGAAAGTCAGTGGGGTTCAAAACAACGCTGGACCTGACTTTTATTGTAAGGACAAAAAAAAATACAAATTAACCCATTTTTGTTGCTAATTGTTGACAATTTTAATTTTTAGGTTCATTATGTCTTTGTTTGTAATTTTGCCAAATAATTGAACATGTGTTCTAACCCTTTTTGCACACATCCTCACTTTATCAGGGGACACCATGTTCATCGTCTTGCGCAAGCAGCGGCTGATCTTCCTGCACTGGTATCATCACATTACCGTGCTGGTGTACTCCTGGTATTCCTACAAAGACCAGGTCGCCGGTGGTGGCTGGTTCATGACCATGAATTACACCGTGCACGCGCTCATGTACAGCTACTACACTGCTCGAGCTGCTGGAGTCCGTGTGCCGAAACCCTGCGCCATCATCATCACTTCCTCTCAGATTGCTCAGATGGCCATGGGGCTGGCAGTAAGTGCACTAGTGTACCAATGGATGCAGGATGGGGATTGCCATTCTTACATAGATAACATAGTGTGGGCTTCACTCATGTATCTCAGCTATCTGCTCCTCTTCTCTTCTTTCTTTTATCAGTCTTACATGAAGGGTTCAAAACAAGCCACAAGCATAAAAAATGACTGATATACAGCCCTGAGGTTTGAATACAAGATTTTATTTCTGATGGTTTACCTTATGCATATTTATTTCATTAGGTGAACAATGAATGTGTGTGTATATATATTTTTTTTAAACAACAGCCAGACCGTAATAGCTGTGTCTCGTGCCGTTTCAGGGCTGTTATCTGTTCATTATTTTCTAGTTTGTATTAGCTGAGCAAAGCGCATCAAATACAACTCTTGTTTTTGCTGTTGAGAACTTAAATGGTTTTGAAGAACTTCCAGGCACTTTTGGAGGGTGATTTTAAAACCTATGGGTCCTCTATGACTTCCCCCCCCCCCAGTCTTACAGGCCACAGGTTTCTAATCTTCAAAAGTCCATGTTTGTTTACTCTTTGGAGACTTGATAACATGGCCTGAACCCAGCTGAAACATATGGTGTATGTTGAAGCATGTGCCAAGATCCTTGTAATCTGTGCTCCTCGTCAAAGAACAAGTGAGAAATTTGTCAAAAGATTCCTAATGTGAATGTACAACTTCACATGTTTCATTTGGCCACCCTTTCTAAATTTCATCCATGCTTCCCTGGGTGTGTAGGTATTGCATACTAGTTCAGTGTGTCCACCTCATGATGTCACAGAAACTTGAATGATCTGTGCTGACTGGTTGGACAGGATCCCAGGCATTTAAATTGGGCATTTTTAGCTGGATTTCTCTGAAAGGACGACACCCATGTTCTCGCTCTCATTCTGTGCATGTTTCTGTCATGAGTTCACTGCAGCTCTTATTCACTGAAGTTACAGTATGTAAAACCAGCTGAAGAACGATTGATATAAGACTCTTTCACGTTTGAATAACACATGGGAAGAGTCCGTATGAAATGGCTCTTTCCTGCTTTTGTGGCTGTACTGATTACTGAATTTGTGCTTCACAGAACCATTAACCGTCCCTATAATGGTGTTTGTTACTTGAGCCATTAATTAAAATGCACAGTTGTATTTGTATTTATCTTGTATATCACAGTCACATTTGGGAATTAATGGTTGTGTGGGTATTTATTTTTCCACTGAAACTACAGTGATAATGTTTCCATCTAAATGGTCTTTTAAAAGATCTTGTATTATGTGATAGTAGAGAACAATCCTTTGAGAATATTGAGTGGAATTATGCGCTCTAACATAGTATCATCTGAAATGTTGCTGCTACGGTCCAAGCTTATTTATTTTTTTTCTGTCATCTGGTCTGTTCCGGTTCAAGACTGTGAAAGAATTGCCTACTTTTGTATTTCTGTTTAAAGGAAGTTTTGATTAAAAGATTTTATGACTTTTGTCTTAAAATATGTTGGAGATGGTAGCCATATAATAACTTTGCTGCATTAGGAACCGCAACGTTGAATGTAGTGGCACTAGCCTACATTACAAGGCATAGTTTACTACTACTGTATTTTTAAAAAAGGAGAATAATGTAATAAAGGTGCCGAATGTAAACATTTATCTTTCCTACCTGATCATCTGTACAGGTTCTTAGCTGCTGTGAAGTAATTATGATTATGTATATATTTTTGTCATTAAAACAGTTTCTGTAGTTTTGTGTGTATCATTCTGTTCAACTTTTCATAGACGGATGTTAGCTGACCGGTTTTCTGAGCTAAGCTGGCATATTTTATGCATACATACTTTAGTTGTTATGAGGAAGTTCACACATTTCCAGATCTGTGATAGATGTAAACCTAGACTATGTTGATGTTGTTTCTTTTCTTTTCAATCTTTTGAGTTTTTTTTTTCCCTTTGGTAGAAGCTATAGCTGCGGAATGATGCGGAAGCCTCTTCAGAAATGATTGATTACGTTCTTTAGACTCTGAGGTTTTAATATTCAATACCTGTAGTGACAAAAACCCTCTCAGTAAATATTCTGGGCCCATTTTTCCACTAGCAGACTAAAATGTGGTTAGGCGCTTAACAGCCATATTTTGACCCCAGTATTTTTCATGACTAGCCAGTCAGTAACTTACCATTTAGGTGACACTTCTCATCGCCCTGCTGGAACCGTAATGATTTGCTCGAGGGTATAGCAGCGGAGATGCTGTTAAATTGAGATCCTATTAATTCTTCAGTGCCTGGTTCTTCCCTAACACATGATCAATGGATTACGAGGGTGTAGAAGCATCTAACCCGGATTAAAAGCCTAAAACCGACTTTTCTTAAAAACGTATCCCTCAATTCTGAGTGGTTGATTGGAATGTTGTTCCAGGATCAACAAGGACGGTGAAATCACGTTCACCCCACACACATGTATGGCCATCATTGTTTGTTGCTTTTGCCACTTGCAAGCTCAACGAATGATGAGAGAACCGAGTGCTGCAGTGATAGTGTATTTCGGAGACCAACCGGGACGTTAGCTTTACCCTGGTTCCCTAGATGGAAACCCTAGGAGTTTTTCATGGATTTGGGATTAGGCTATTGCAGAAAATAAGCTCTGTGACCAACCCAAGTTTATGATTCTTTCACGTTTTGTTCATTATGACAATATACACAAATGAACACATCTTTTATGAGTATTTTGAAGCCTAAATACAATAATCAGAAGTAAAAAGCTATAGGCTATACATGATCTACATCACAGTTGCATGACTTCAACGTCACCAACATTAGCCTATAAAAGCTTATAATACCCAAGGGGGGGGGGGGGGGACAACGGATGTA